AAATATTGGAATCTGTATATGGTCTTGTCGTGGATGCATCCATCAGTATAGACATGGATTGCAGACGTTGTATGCAAAAGATAGGTGCACATAGATGTTGTTATGCGATCCCGGAACAGATCTGGCCTAGGCATGCAACACGCCTGAGGCCTCTCGTAAAGATCCTTCGGTGTAGAAGACGACCTGAAACGCAAATACGGAGGCACTAACTACCATTGACACACACACAGAGAGACACTGCAATTATGCAGGATTGCATAAGGGATTCGTATCGCGCCAAACCATCACGTTCTCTTCGCAGAGCAATTACTAATTTAACTCGACAATCTCTACGTGTGTCTAATCGATTGCTAAATTATTGTTAAATCTTATTGATATACATACATATTTTTCTCTATTACGAAATTTATAAAATAAGTTCAAACGTTTTCGACTTACCCTAAACATTAAATTTTGTGTAAAAAAATATTTAAAAAAATAACTGAATAGATGAATTTTATAAAGAAAATAGTGAATTCTAATGATTTTCCGATTGAATAAAGGTTATCACATCTATTTATTCTTAAAGATCAAAGTTTTCTCTATTAAGAAAATTATAAAAGAAATACAAACTTTTTCGACTTACTCTTCATATTTTTTCAGATTCAGATCGAATAAAGAAATTTTACTCATTCTTGATGTTCATTCTTTGTAAAAAATTAGTTATAAAATACATTATAAGATATAAGATGAAATTTAATGATTTTTCAAATAGAGTAAGCGATACAAACTTTACTTTTTCTTAAAAAAAAACATAATTTTCTCTCTAATGAAATTTATAAAATAAGTTCAAACTTTTTCCATTCACTCTAAACATTACATAAAGAAAAAATCACTAAAAAGATGAAATTTATGAGAAAAATAGTGAAGTATGATTAATGTTATTTATGAACGTATTTTGTTGTCATTATTACAAACATTAGACATGATTTTTCGTTAAGGTAAACAAAATTAATGTCTTGGTGATTTTTGGATATTTTTTATGAAAGAAATCAAGAAATTCAATTAATTTGCTCTTATTTCTTTATTAAATTAAATTTATGACTCATGGTAATTCTTAAATAGATCGTTTATATTAATAAATCAAGTATATTAATAAAGAAAGTACGCATTTTTTCTTTTGCAAAAATTTATTTCTCGAAATTTTTGAAGAGAAATATAGTTTTTAAATAATTATTTTAATAGAAATACTCGTTTATTAATATTTGTCAATGGTAAAAGTAACTCTCAAATTAGTAGAAAACAAAGTTAATGGAATAGAGTAATGAGAATAATAAGGAAGGAAACTATGCAACATTTTTTTGACAGAGAGACGATAAAACTTTTAACGAACGTCCAAATGTCTCAGTTTAATTAAACTTTCCGTAATAATTGCAATTAAAAATAATGCACGTAACGCAATTCGCGTATTATGTAAATTCCAGATACACACTTACACTTTCTACGTTGCCAAACAGCGGCAGCAGCAGTAGCAATCATATCAATTGAGATAAACATAAGCTCTTTAATGAAAAGCAAACAGCTACAACAATATTCATATCTTGCTTACTCAATCAATTAATTAATTAGTTAATTAAGCTATAGGCTACAGTCGAGTAAATTAATCTAAATAATAGTAAATACTGTTATCTGGATTTATATCGAAATTCCAACAACCGAAATCCTGACAATCAAATTCCCGACATTCTCGACAGTATCAAAATCCCGACAATCATAATGTCGAAATCCTAACAATAATAATTCCGACAGTATCACGGAATTCAGTCTGAGTGGTTTTGTTTATTATTAGTCGGGATTATGGTTGTCGGGATTTCGAATGTCGGGATTTCTATTGCCACCGTTTTTTTATTTATGTAACTTTCTGCTGAATCATCAACGAAACTGCAAACGTTTCTTTTATTATTTTTTTGTGTCGAATCCAATTTCCGTCGGTGAGGTGAAATGCAGACGATCTCTTCTTTCGTTTGTAATTTGCGGCGTTGTTATGTAAAGTGTGCGGCGGATCGTGAGAAAAGTGGAATGTGGAGGCTGCGAAACGCGATCGTCTTCTTCTCGTCGTCGTGGATTGAAGAGAATAGAAAACGGCGATCCCTTTGCGCTCTGCAAGGCCGACAAATGAGAATGCCTGGAAGCAGCCTACAACTACTTATGATTATTATTTGCACTATTACCAATCGACGAATTCCGATTAACCAATGCACATTTTCTTCGATTGCATGGAACGTTATTATGATTATTATTTTTTTTATGATCGATACAGATTTATATGTATGGCCTCAATGCTCAGCGAAAATCGTTTATTATGCCCATTCTTGGCGTTAAAACAGCCATTAAAATAACAATGACATATAATCGCTGTCAAAGTTGAAATTGTCATTTCATAATCTTAATTTTCTCACAGACATAAATTAGTTAACATACTTTGATCATAACAAAATATACTAGTTAAAGCATAGTTCAGACTTTTGATTGTAATTATTGCATAAGTGAGATCATAGAAATTATAACATTTTAACCTATTACAACAAAGTCTTTCTTTTTGCTGAACCTTGAAATAATGAATTAATTTCGTTTAAAATAAAAAATATATTTATTACACATTATCAATTTCATTCACATTTCGTTCCTACAAAAACCGGCGCAAATTGAATCGTCGTAAAATGAATCTATATTTACAGTGAGGTAATAGGTATAGGTCTAATTGCGGTATATTCTCAGTCAGCTTAGGAAAATCGGCGAATCAACTAACTGTATTTATAGAAATAAACGATTGGAATTATTATGATACTCAATATTTTTATTAAAGCTATTTCTGTCTCCAAACTGTGCTTATCAAACAAAAACTTTTATTTATTTCGAATCATAATGCACTCAATGTTTATTTTGCTAATTGTATATGAATTGGTGAAATAGTCTGCTTTGCAGTACAACTACAATATTCAATTTTGCTGCATATTTGAATGGAGCGTTTTTCAAGTTATGACAGCTGTCGCCATGTATCAAAGCAAAGAAACTGGTGATGTTGTGTCACGCAGCAAGAAAGTTGAGAAACGCTTGTATCTCTGAAAAATTGTTATAGAAACATTGAAAATATGTGGAAAATAGTAAATTCTTATGATTTTTTAAATTACATAAAGGATAATAAGAAATATTTTCTTTTTTAGGGAATTTATAAAATAAGTTAAAATTTTATTCTATCAAGGAATTTTAATAGTATTTAAATAATATGAATTTCCATCTTCGTTAATCAATACTAAATATGTAGGTTTAATGTTTGGAATATTTTTACAAATTTTGATCTCAAAATATAAGAAGTAGGCTTGATGTTAATTAGTACAAAAAATTAGACATGACAGCTGTCACCATGTGTCAAAACGAGGAAATAGTGAAATATTGTTGTCTGTAGTCCATTACAAATAAAATGTTGAGAAAAGCTGTAATAATTTACACTAGTATTATTTGTTTTCATTAGGACAATATTTAATTTATATCTTGTACTAACTTGAAAAAAAAATCTGTATTAATATTGTATTTTGAATAATTATGCTTCAAATCATTTAGTAATACTCAAAATATCCAATTACATTATTGGCGACAATAAGTAAGCTGAAGAACTTTGAAATAAAAAAATATTCTTTATTAAATTCTGTAATAATTTTCTATTATTCTATTATTAGTTAGTAAAACTTAAAAAGAATCATTTTCAATGTAAATCTTGAAAAAAGCTGAAAAAGCTTGAAAAAACTATAATTATATATTAAATTCTATAATAATTTTGACTAATTATGATCGAACTTATATCAAAATAAAAGAAACAACAGATTAAATATATATAAAAAGTTTTGTTGTATTTATTGACTTTCAATATTTCTTAGTCATTCAAGTCAAGATAATTTGAAATTATTGCTATTAATATGAAAGTACGTAGAGTTAAATAATATAATTTATAAACATGAATTATTTATTTATCTCATAATTATTCTGTTGTTTAAAGATTCTACAATTAAATAGTATAATAAATATGTATGTCAATATATTACTTTTTTCAAAATTTTAGTTATGTTTTTTAACCTTTATTTATTATTTTCAATCTGCCACATTCTGGCAATAATCTTTTTTTTGGCCACTAGAAAAATGAAGAAAATAAAACAAAAATAATAGTTATATAATATATTTTTTAATGCTTTTATACATTTTTGTTTCTATTAATTTATCTTCAGTATTGCTAACATGAATGTAGTTAGAGATAAATAAATTATGTAAGTTATTTTGTAGTTAAAATCATTGCTTTTTTATCTATTAATTTCTCTGCAATATTTCTTAATCACATATAAAATTAGTTAATTATTAACATGAATGAACTAATTAAGAAGTATGACAATGCAATAATTCAATATCAAATTTATTTATGTAACAATTGTACATAAATTATATCAATTTTTTACCTATTAGTTTCTAATTCTAATCCAAATGGAGAAACGTTTTCCGTTGCACAATAGTAATGTTAATTGTAAACTGAGCGTAGAAACGAAATCGGTCTTGATCTGAGGTCGTGCGTATTTGCTTATTTTAGTTGACAAAAAAATAAATAAAAAATAGAACTAAATAAATGAATTTGTGTATATGTGTGTGTGTGTGTTAAAATGAAAGGCGTTTCACGGCGCATTTTTGTACAAAATCGATTTTGAAATGCGATATATATTTGGTACACAGTTTAATTGCACGAAAACCGCAGAAGTTTTGCACACCAAAAAAAAGAAGTCATTCGCTGCTTTTATGGAATTTCTTTGGACATACCATGTGAATAGTTTGAATTTGTTGTTATTAGTATTTCTTAAATCTTTAATTAAAAAATTGTTGCAATTCGTATTTTTTTTTAAATGTGATTTTAAATTAAGTTGTCGACGTCTGCGTTTTGATGCATTACGTAATAATGTTTTTTTTTTCTTTGTTATTTCCAGTGGCCTAGCAATGCCCTGTCACACCAGGATGAAAACATTACATTCACAAGGTAAGAAAATAAAAGTAAACTTCCTTGGGATTAAGTTGACTAACTGGACAATAAATGGCAATTATCAAGAGTTTAATTGTACTTTTACTGCGGCTATGATAAATAAAATGATGTTATATGGGAAATGATCACATCTTCTTCAATTTATGGAATAAACAACATTGTTATAATTGATATAAAGTCAACAATATAGTTGCAATTAAAAAAAAAATAGGATTACAGACAATTTTATTTCAGCTGGGATAAAAATGTTCGTTTTTAAAGAATTCATGGACTATCTTTAATTTATGGGATAAACAAGATTCTTATAATTACAACAAATTCAATAGAATGTTTTTATTGAAACAAATTCGATTATTTTCTTTTTTACACAATTACTACAGCTATGAAAGACATGAAGTTGTAATAAGAATAAACACATTTTATTCTATAGACAAGATTTTTATAATTACAACAAAGTCTATGGATTTTTTTCAATGAAAAAAATTTACATAATAAACAACATTGTTATAGTTACAAAAAGTTAGCAAAATTGTTGCAATGAAAAAATAGAATGTTTTGAATTACAGACAATTTTATTTCATCTGTGAAGAAAAACTTCTGTTTAAGGAATTAATAGATTATCTTCAATTTATGGGATTAACAAGATTCTTATAATTATAACAAAGTCAATGGAACATTTTCATTAAAAGTAATTTGATTATTTCTACTTTCCTACATTATTACTGCAGCTATGAAACACATGAAGTTATGTAGAAATTTGGGAATAAACACAACTTCTTCAATTTATAATAGTATAGACAATATTTTTATAATACATCAAAGTTAATGGAATATTTTCAATTCAACAAATTTGATAATTTTAACTTAAATACACTTTACAGATATGGAAAACATGAAAATACAAGGGAATTTGGGAATAAACTCATCTACTTCAATTTGTAGAATACAAATATTCTTATAATTTGTACAAATTTAATGGAATATTTTAAATGAAACAAATTAAATTATTTAAACTTTAATAGACTTTTACTGCAGCTATGAAAAGCAAGAAGTTATATGCTTATATTTTATGGGATTGTAGGATGAACTAGAATCTTATAATTGGAACAAATTTAATGGAATATTTTCAATTAAATAAATTTTATTATCTCAACTTTAATAGACTTTTACTGCACCTATGAAAACCATGAAGTTTTATGGGAGTTTAGGAATAAACACATCTTCTTCAATTTATTTGATAAACAAGATTCTTATAATTACTTCAAAGTTAATGGAAGTTGTTCAATTAAAGAAATTCGATTGTTTCATCTTTAATACACTTTTACTGCAGCTATGAAAACCATGAAGTTTTATGGGAGTCTGCGAATAAACACATCTTCTTCAATGTATTGGATAAACAAGATTCTTACAATTACTTCAAAGTCAATGGAAATTGTTTAATTAATGAAATTCGATTGTTTTATCTTTAATAAACTATGATGTTATATGAGAATTTGCAAATAGACACATATTATTCAATTCATAGGATTTGTTTCTTTTTGAAGTGATAATCAAAAAAACTACAGAAATATACGAATCAACACATTTTCTTCAATTTACGGAATAAACAAGACTATTTTAATTACAGCAAAGTCAACGTTTTTTTTGTAATTCAAGCAATCTGATTATTTTGAATAGTAACTTGATATAAATATAGTTTGTTTTACGTTGTAGATTGCGTAATTAGATTTTGAAAAGAATGGTTTTGTTTGCTGGGAAAGTGGCGTCGTTTCGTAATACGCAGACGACGCTCTTATTTGGTTTACGTTGGATATGCACGCGCGTCCATGAATTTAAATGCCAATGATAGGAAATTCAAGACGGTACGAAAGACAGGGAAAGTTAGCTGTTGCTGCATGCAACGTCTCAACCAATCGAGCTTAAGAAATTAATTTTAACATTGCAAATCTTTGACTTCTGTTAACAATTATTTAAATAAAATCCAAGATTCTTCACTGCTGTAATATTTGTTATAAGAGACAAAAACGTCTTTTCAATAGAGTATAAGAAATGGGTCTTGTGTCTGATTTTTTTTTGTTAAAAATTCTTTAAATAAACTCTATATTCTTGTATTTTCAATAGAGTAAATATAATAAATATAACAAATCTTTGCATTTTTTAAAATTTTTTCTGTTATTAGTTCTATTTTGTTAACAATAATTTAAATAATTTTTAGATTCTTTTGGTTGTAAAATGTGTTATAAGTGTGTAAGAAAGACGTATTTCTAACACAATCTAAGAAATGTTTATTTGCCATTGAAGATCTTTTAAACAAACTTCCACATTGTTCTTATTGTAAAATTTGTTATAAGATATTGGTCAAAACACATCACCAATTTACTAGAAGTTTCATTTTGACTCTGCAGATCTTTGAGACCTATTTTCTAACGATTCTTGAAATAAAGTTTATATTTTGATTGTGGAAAATTTGTTATAAGAAATTGAGTGAAATGTCTCTTTAAATAATTATAAGAAATGCATTTTTACTCTGCAGACCTTTAAGTTCTGCTTGTTAATAATTCTTCAAATAAAGACAATTCTTATTGTTAGAACATTTGTTATAATAGAAAAGAGACAAATATGTCTTTAGAAGAAAAGAGATTTAATTCTTTAAATAAAGCATAGATTTCTATTGTTGTACAATGTGTTATAATAAATTGATTGTAATGTCTCTTTAAATAATTATATGTTCTTATCACTTCTTCAAATAAAGACTAAATTCTTATTCTTAGATAATTTTCTAGAGGAAATTGAGAAAATAAAAAGTTATAAGAAAAAACAATCTAAGAAATGTTTTTACCATTGAAGTTCTTTTATTTTAAGAATTCTTCTAAACAAAATCAACATTCTAAAGTAAAAAAAGAAAACTGTGCAATGCAAAGTATATTGACGTAATGCAATCGATTGGAATGAAAAGCATTAAATTTGAAATGACTAATCATCCTCATGTAGGTTAAGCAATCATCAGTTTTAATCAAAAACTAATACGATTTATTTATTTTTCTTTCTAGTTCACAGTCGTGACTGCAATTGATTTTGTATTTCGATATCGATTAAAATATTGATAGATTTCTCATGATTGTTGCTAGAATCATTCATTATGCATTGATTTCGGATTGGTATTTGCATATAACCAATCCGAAATCAATGCATCAAACTGAATAAGTTTAATTAAAAACTTGATTAAAAAATATTACATGTAGCATTATTAATTATATTAAAAAAATGATTAAAATCTACATAAAATAATAATTTCAAATTGATAAAGTAATTGAATAATTTATTAATTTTTGATTAAATTAAATTTTTAGCTCTTTTTTTATTATTGTATATACATATTAATTATTTTGGTATATTATTTTGCTTTTACACGCTACTCACTTTACACGTCTTTGCTTTTATCCGGTTTAGAAAACCTATGCGTTTTTTTTGCATACTTTTCGATTTGTTGTAAATAAAAAAAAAATAATTAATTAAATGTATTAAATGTATTGAATAATTTGTTAATTTTAAGCTCTTTTTTATTAGTGTTTTTATATTAATTCTTTTGGTATAGTAGAGATTTTAATGCATTAATTAATTTTAATAATAATAGACCTATACTTCGTTTTACACGTGTAAGGAAAACGTGTCCGCTTTTACATGGTTTAAAAACCTATCCTATGCGTTACAAAATGTTCAAATTTCGATTTACACTTATTTTAATTTACCGTGTAAATCGGGGGATACGTGTACTTATATTAAGATTGTTAAATCATGACATATATATTTCTGAAAATTAGAGTTGTGATCAATTATAGAAATTTCAAAATTTAATAATTTATATTAAGAAAAAAGATGTTGAAAGGTTTATTTAATTAATCGATTTTAGCTACTGAATAAGCCGCAACTGCAAATAGAAGTTTAATTAAGCGAATTAGTTTTTTTTTGTTGGTTGTGTTGACATTTGGATTGGTCAATCATTTCGAAGATTGATGAAATCAATCAATTTGTTGTGCGGGAATTCTGAATCTTTGTACTGTTGCGCAATGGAAAGTCAAGGAAGCCTTCCTCTCAGAGTATCAAAGACCTCCCAGTATTCTTCGGGTGAAAGACCAAAACCTCTTTGCACCATTCATGAGTCTCTCCTCATCATTGTTTCCTACTCGTGTCCCACGACAACAAACTCATCCTGGTTCCGGTTCAAGAAAAACTCCGTTACAAATTCAATAATTTACATCATACAACGAAACAATATATACCTTGTATTGTGCGGCTTCGATCAGTCCGGATTCAATTCAATAATTTACAACGAAATAATTTGTGTTGAAATTTATATACCGAAATACTTCGTATAGTGCGGCTTCGATCAGTGCGGATTCAATTCAATAATTTACAATATACAATGAAACTATTTGTGTTGAAATTTATATACTGTAATACCTCGTATAATACACCCATCCCTCGGCTTCGATCAATCCGGATTCAATTCAATAATGTACATCATACAACAAAGCAATTTGTCTTGAAATTTATATACCGAAATACTTCGTATAGTGCGGCTTTGATCAGTCCGGATTCAATTCAATAATTTACATCATACAACAAAACAATTTGTCTTGAAATTTTTATGCAGCAATACTTCGTACAGTGCGACTTCGATCAGTCCGGATTCAATTCAATAATTTACATCAAACAACGAAACTATTTGTCTTGATGTTTATATACAGAAATACCTTGTATAGTGCGGCTTCGATCAATCCGGATTCAATTCGAAAATTTACATTATACAACAAAGCAATTTGTCTTCATATTTATATACAGCAATACTTCGATCATTCCGGATTCAATTAAACAATTTACTACATACAACGAAACAATTTGTCTTGAAATTTATATACCTCATACGGTGCTGTTTCGATCAGCCCGAATTAAATTCAATAATGTACATCATACAACAAAGCAATTTGTCTCCAAAG